TTTTTTATAGGTTTAATTTATCTGCTTCTCCTTGAGTTCTAGGTAAGTCTAGGTGGTACAGTGAACAGAGTGCTGGGCCCAAGTTCAAATCTGGCCTCAGACCCTCACTATCTCTGTGACCCTGGGTAAGTCACTTAACCCTGTTTATCTCAGTTTCCTCATCTGAAAAATGAGCTGGAGAAAGAAATGGCATACCACTCCAGTATCCTTGCCAAGAAAGCCCAAATGAGGTCACGAAGAGTTGGACATGACTGAAAAATGACTAAACAACAATGACCAAAAAAACCCAAAACAACACAACAACCTATTTTATATCGTATTTCAGCTGTTCAGGACCTAGTACTAGGTATGAGGAAGAAAGAGAACAAAGAAGCAATGAAAGACATGGCCTTCATTCCTGTAGAGTATGATCAGGGAGAAGAGACACTGTCCATGGATTGAAGTTTCCAGTGAGAGAGAGGGGGAGTCTGCCCCAAAGGAGATTCTTGTGTATTGGGGGAGACAGTCCCTGCCCTTAGGGATGTCTTACTGTGTTGGGAGAGATGTAGTTCCTGTCATCAAAGGAAAGACAGAGCCCCCATCCAGCATGATAAAGGAGTCCTAACACCTCCCCCCCTCCCCAGTCAGGACTGTCTGCCCTGATAATGCTCTTCTTGGTGGAGCTGGGATCTCCCTCTCTTACCAATCACCTTACTTCAGTTGGGAGTTTCAAAGCCATGTGGTTGCAGGTCTTAATTAAAGGGTCTTAATTAAATTAGGATCCCATCTGGCTGGGATGAGCCAGGCCTTTAATGAGGATCTTATGTCAGCTACACTGGAAAGTGGATGGGGACCTAGTTGAGCAGAGGCTGAGTTCTGGGGCCAGAGTTATTTCAAATGGGAATGGCAAGAAGACTGTGGGTGATAATGAATGCATCTGAGCCTTCTGTGGCTATGTAGGAAGCAGGATTGGATGACCCCAGCCCAGAGATGGAGGTGAAGGGTATGAAATATATGAGGAGAGTATTATACTTTTCAAAGCAGTCTCACTTTTAAAAAAAATGTCATCACAATAAACTTGAGGTATTTGATAGGCATAAACTTTGTTTTACAGATGGGGAGACTGAGGCCCAAAGGCAGAAAGTGGTTGACTCAAGGTGTCACATGAGGACAGAATCAGTAACAGAATCTGCTTTTTTAGTCAGCCACACTGGAAGTGAAGCTCAAGATATTAGAAACCCATTGCAGGAAGCAAAGAGATTGGCTCTTCCTTTTACCCAGAGCAGTTTCCAAACCAGTCCTCCTGGCCAACCATCTGGGGGGAAAAGAAACCTATTTGGCTGCCTCTGTGGCCCGGGAGGTGCCGGATTCTCCTTGCCTTAGGCTGTCTGGCTAGGTGCCACCTGGAAAGGAAAAAACAGAGAACCCTCACTCTCCTTCCACCATCCCCAAGCTCGAATTTGGGATCTATATTCTGCCAAGAAACAAGATCCTCCTCTCCAAGCCCCCTCACATGCCACTTCCCTCCAGGGGCCAGTCCCTTCCAACAGACAAATCCCCAGGCCTACATTCCCAGCCATTTGTGGGAGCTGAGATAGGACAACTCAGTGTTCCACCACCTTGGAACAAGTGAGGGTAAAGGCAGCTGCTGATCCCCTGGTGACTTTGGAGTAGTTAGTAAATGCCTCCCCAATTTCTCCAAGCTCAGGCTTTATGGGGTTGGGGGAAGCATCCATATTGCTGTGTATCATCCCCTTGCCTATCCCTACACACACGCACATACACACACAGTCACACACGTAGACACACACAGAGAGTCACCAGCTCTGCTGGCAATACCACAGGACTTGAAGTCTTCGGAAGTGACATTTCTCTTCTCCCACTCCCAACCTCGACATTGGATTATCTCCCAATCTGGAACAACTAGATCATTCTGTACCCCTACTTCCTTCTTCATCACCCTCCCCCCACCACGTGAACACTGTGACCCAGATGTCCAAGCATCACGATCCTTCTCCCCCAGCCAAGCTGCCCACCCACCCACCATTCATCTCTCTAAGAGCCAGGGTCCACGTCATAGAGAGGAAACCTCACCACAGGAGCTGTGCCACAAGCCCAGGTCACTGATGCTTCTCACTAGAGAGAACGGATGTGGGTGACTCAGTTTCCGCTTGCTCATCCACAGAAAGAATGGAATGAAGGAGGGAAGACAGCTAGCTCCACAGTCATTTCTCCCTTTACTTTTACCAAGAGGGACCATCAGTGATTGGCATTCAAACAGTTTTCACATCATACAGCCCTCTTAATATCCCACAGAACAACAAGGACTCACACAGTTACAGATTGGGAAACTGAGGCCCAGAGACATGATGTCATTTGTGTGAGGTCACACAGCAAGGGAAGGGCAGATCTGTAGCTCCAGGTCTTCCTCTCCACACCCACCCCAGAAATTACTTTGTATATATTGTGCATTGACTTACCTGTGTATATGTTGTTTCTCCTTATAGAATGTAAGCTCCTAGAGGGCAGGGACTATTTTGTTTTTGTCTTTGTGTTCCCAATGCCTTACACATAGAAGGCCCTTAATAAATGGTTATTGAATGAATGAATGTTCTGACAGGTAGTCTAGGGGTTCTTGCTATTAGAACTGGGCTTGATCATACAAAACATGGTCCCCACATCCAGGCAGAAGAATTTCCCACCTCCTGGGAGCTCCCACTGGCTGTCCCAGCCAACAGGGAGCACTCAGTCTCAGACACACATATGTAAAGAGGACAGGTAACTAAGCCTATAGGACCATGTACCCGCACCATGGCAAGGCAATAAGGCTAAGTGGGAAGAAGGAGAATAATCAATAGACAGTTGGGTTAGGCTGAAGAAAGAACTTTCAGTGGGGGTGGGAGGGAGGGGGAGGTATGAAGGAACAAGATCATTCCAGAGAGATATACTCTCCTGAATAGAGAAAAGGGAGTGAGGGCTAGAAAGCCTCAAGCACAGAGGAAAAGAGCTTAGGCTTCCCAGCCATCACCTCTCCAGGTGTAGAGACTCCTACCTGGCATCCTAAAGGGGGAGGGTTTTGAAGGGAGTAGTCCACTGTCCTGTATGGAAGCAGAGGAATTGGCAATTTCTATCAACAAGGATTGAAGTTTGACACAATATTGGGGGTGGGAAAGAAGAAATATGGTCAAGAAATTGAATGAGTAGGTTGAATAGGATCCTAGATTTGAAGCTGGAAGGATTTCTTTCAATCACCTCTATAGAAGAGGAAACTGAGGCCCAGGAAAATTAAGTGACTTGCCCAAGCTCCTACAGGTGGTTGGCATCAGAGGCAGGATTTGAACTCAGATCCTCTGATTCCAGAACCAGGGCTCTTTCTGCTGGACCATATGGAACAACAAGAGGCAGGCTGAGAATGAACATTTTTGGCCTTGTTGGAAGAGGAGAGGTGGGCAGGAGGGAAGAGCATCAGGGGGTGTGAAATGAAGCAATTAGAATGCAAGAACCCCCTGCATGGTGAGCACTTGTCGGGCATGCAAGGCCCTGGGTGTACAGCTGCTGGCAGCAGCTGGATCTCTGCAGGTTTGAGGAGCAGGATGAGGGTCAAGGAGAACAAGTAAAGTATAATTCATTTTTCAGGTTGGGTCTCAGGGAGATGGTGGGGGTGGGGGGTTGCCTCCAAAGATGGGAGAGGAAAAGCAAATGGATTACCATCACTGACCATCTCCACCCTCCCTCACCCTAACACCCCATCCCCTGATTCCAGTCCACAGGCAATATCCTGGTTGCCTCTGAATGGAGTGTATGCTTGGCCAAATGCCAGGGTCCTCTTCATCTCACCTAACCAGGAAAAATAATGTTGTCAACTCACATTAGCATTGTGAAGGATAGTGGGGTGTCCTGATGTCTGAATCCTCCGGACACCTGTTAAAGGAGCTATGGCCTGGGCTGGGTTTAGGGTGGCTCCCTACAACTTCTCTTTCCCATGTTGACCCCAGAAGCACCTCCCTCATTGCTTTGGGGCCAGGGGTCAGAAGGCTGATGGGCAGCACTGGTTGCCTAGTAACCACTCTCTTCCAGACCCCACTCTCTCATCTGCTGCTGACAGGCGGTACTGGGTGGTTGGCTTCCTCCAGGTCTCCCCTCACCGCCTGTTCCTTTGTTGACACATCCTTCGATTTCATACATCTCCTTTCAGAGAAAATCTGATGGCACAAGCTCTCATGACTGCCTCTTAACTCCATAAGGCATCGATAGTTGCCTCCTTTGGGGAGTGTGGGAGTAGTGGTGGGGGCAGGCAGAAGCAATAATAGTAATAATACAAAAATCATGGAATAGTACATTCTCCATTTCAAAAGCACTTAGAAGTACAGATTTTCTAGAAATGTAATGTCCAGATCTAGAAGCCCTTCAGAGCATCATCTCACATTACAGATGAAGAAATCATGAAAATTTCAAAATAAAAGGAAGCAACCTATCCAAGGTCACATGGCAATTCAGTGACAAAACTCAGACCAGAAGCCAGATTTCTTTCCATGAGTCTACCTTCCCTTCCCTCTGTCACACTACCTGAGGACTGCTTTTCTAAGCTTCCAGGAGAGGAGAAAGGAACAGCACAAATTTCTCTTGATCTAATTGATCATATAGCTATGCCAAATATCCTCAAAACAGCTCAGTGATCCTCGATTAGTAATTCCTCTCCTTATCTGCACAACACTGACTCTTGGAAGGATAGGAAGAATGAAAGAGGAATCCTGGAGCCTGCAGCTGGCCACCACTAAACTCTGGTCAGGAGCTCTTTAGCTCTGGGCTCCGAGACCAGAAATGCTGAGATGGAACAATTAGGGATAAGGAAAGGATGTGGGGATGGAGCATGGGTAAAGCAAATGTCATTTCTCTCATTTACACAACTAAGATTCCCAAGTCCTGGGAATGCTTTATTCTCTGTTCCAAAAACATGATTCTGCAAACAGAAGTCAACATTCAAAGTAATTTTACAAGACATCCCCTTGCCCTCCCTTTCATCCCACCATAACCCTCCCCCCCCATACAGACACCACAGAACATCTGAAACAGAGACCCAGTGCCCTCTGTCTCATTCAGTCTTGCTTCTTCTGAAGTAACTGGCAACCCCTTAGAGCCATCTGGGGGTGGAGGAAGCAAAGGTTGCAGAGGGGATTCAGGTGTTCTGTCTTCCCTCCCAAGCTTACTCCTTTGGGGAAACATACCCAATACAGAAGGGGGAGACTTAGGAGGCATGGGGAGTGGGGCAGAGAAGAAGAGTTCATTAACAGTGCAATGTTAGAATGTCTTTCCATCTGTTCCCGGTGAACCTTTTGCTGGGATTAGAAGACTCTCCTCCCACACTCTCACAAAGCCTATCCCACCAGAGTATGCCTCCCAACATTATATGAGAGTGGGATGTAGGCTCCCCTTAGAGATCCTTATTAGCATGAGAGAGTGGCTCTTAAAGATGAAGGATATGGCAGGGAGGGTCCTCCATTAACTGAGATCTTGATGATTGATGGTTATCCCTCCCACTTCACTCTACTGACCTTCAAGGACTAGGTGCTGACAATTCTCAACCACTAAGATGGGTGTTTGTTCTAATCCAAATTCATCTCCAGTGTTTCCACCCAGGCTGTTAGAAATGCCCTTCTCCTGACTGCAAACTTTCCTGAGCCCTTCCAACTTGGTATTTTCTCTGAAGATATTCACCACCCCATATCTGTCTCTTCTTGAGTACAGTGGCCAAGGAACTAAGGTTCTAGGTGCCTCTACATCATTTGATCCCTAGAGATATTTGACTCTAGATCTTTGCCGGAGGCTTCTCTAACCCACTCCCCTCAGAACCCTAGAACTCAATGTCTACCCACAACTCAGTCTCCTGTGAGGCTCAGTTACCTAGAACCTATCCCTTCTCAATTTCACATGTTTAAGGTTACTCAATAGTTCCCACTACAAAGCTTTCTTCCCTTTCCTTCTCCCTTGACTTTACTCTGATCATACCCCACAATTTTGCTTTCACTTTCTCTTCCTGCCTGGAAATCCAGTCTCTTTCCCACCCTGTGCCCCCTAGGTCTCCTCTTCCTCTGGTGGTACGGTCCCCTTCGGCCCCTGGTGGAGGGAGGGAAGGTCCCTGAAGGTCCTCCCCTCTACCCACCCAGGGCATCACCCAGAAGGATAGTAGGGGGCATCACTATGGTAGTTGTAGTCTGGGCACACCTTCTGGACCAGCCGATAGTCTGTGCTGTAAAAGGCGATATAGATACAGATGACCTTGAAGGGCTTGGAGCAGTTCCAGGTAGCTGAGCTCTGTGTGTGGTCCCGCGAGCAGGTTTTGGCAGGGTCATGAGTGCAGAGTGAGGTCCGCCGGCCCCGATCCACCTTCTCCCACTCCACCCGGCAATTGAAACTCTTGGATGCTTTGGCTTCGATGAAGATCTGCTGCTCTTGGTGGAACTCCACAGCCTTGCTGGGGGGCACTAGGCTGACTGAGATGTTCCCTTGGCCAGTGGCATTATGTTGGAAGTGGACACTGAAGGTACCATTGCCATGGTCCACAATCTTCCCTGTAACCAGTAGATTCAGTGCCACTGTCTTGATGTTGGAATAGAAGTCGCCCCAGCCAAATATTTTTTTCAGTTTGGCAGGAGATGCAGCGCTATGGTGGGTATGGGCAGGGGGCTGCCCTGGATCCCCCCATGACTCTCCTGGTGGGGCCAGCAGCCCAAGGAGTGTGGAGCTGGTCTGACGGGACTTAGGGGAGAGATGTCCCCGTTTCCGAGGCACCCGGGACCGAGGTTGTCCCTCAGCATCATCATGTTCAGGGTCATCAGAGCCATGGGGGGAATCATCTTGGCCACAGATGACCTGGGGAGTTGGGAAGAGAGAAAGGTGAGAGTCCTGTCCATAGCAAACCTAGGTGGCCAAGTTCTTGCTAACTCCTCCTCTTCCTCATTACTGACATAATCTCTGGTTCCTTTGGTCCCTCTCTTCCTTGAAAACATAGCTTAAGTGCCAATCTTCTACATGAAGCCTTTCTTGAGACCCCCAAAAGCTAGTGTCCTCCCCTTCCAAGCTATCTTGTATTTAACTACTTCACATATATTAGTTTTGGTTTTAGGCTTTGTATATACTATATACATTTTATACTATGCATATACTTCATATGTACTTCTTGTCTCCCCCATCAGATTGTAAGTGCCTTTGAAGCAGAGGTTGTTTACTTCTTTGTACTTGTATCTTCATTGCCTAGCACAGTGCCTGGTGCAGAGTAGGCACAATAAACTGCTTGTTGATTGGTTAACCGGACAAAGGAGCGCCCCTTCCTCCCACTTTAAACTTGTATCATATGCAGAACATCTTCTGCCTTGAGCTGAAAGTTGCCCTTGCTTGATTCTTATTTTCTTCTCCCTCCTCACGTCCCCAATTCCCTATCCCTCTGTGGTAGAGAGAACACTGAACCTGGAGTCAGAAGAGATCTGGGTTTGAATTCCAACTGGGACACTTACTGAGCAATGTGACCAGAAACAAATCATTTACTTTCCCTAAGCTTGTTTCTCCATCAATAAAACAGAAATAATGATACTTACATTATCAAATTCAATAGTTTAATGTAAGAAAGCCCTTTGTAAGTCTCAAAACCGTATATGTGAGGTTTTGCCACTATTATCATTGTCGTCATCATCATTAGGCCTTCAATTTTGGTGTTCTTCCTCCTGAAATTTTACTAGTATAGAAGTAGTACAGCCCCAGCTTGAGAGAATATGTTCAACCTATATCAGGAGATCCTACTTGGAAACTGAAGCCTAGACATAAAAAGGGCAGACAATAGAATATCAACATGGACCAAACCACAGAGAGTTTGTATCCATGACTGGGAAGGTTTATGTGTATGTTTTATATACGTACACGTATATAATGCAAAAATAAAAATATATACACACATATAAAAGATACACACAGTCTACATATAGAGGTATCTATATATCTATATCTATTTGTATGTGAGGGGGGAAGAGAAAGAGAGAGAGAGAGAGAGAGAGAGAGAGAGAGAGAGAGAGAGAGAGAGCTCCCAAGACAGAGTTGAGCTACAGAATGCCAATTTTCCCTTTCCCTTGACTAATTTTTCTGGAGGAGAGAGGGAGGGAAAGGGTGCTGCTAGGAAAGGATGTCCAAGCATATGGACAACCTGAGGGAATCTAACCCATGCACAGTAGCCTGAAGGTAACACAGTATGTGTGCAAGGGTATTTTTGTAAATGTGTCTGTTGGACTTGCATGTCTGTTTCCGGATGTTGACTTAGGTCCACTGTACGGCATATGGGAAATGCTGGACAGCTCCCTGACTCTAACTTGGAAAAGATCAGTGTTAAAAGGGTTATTTAGTGATAAGGAGACAGATATCCTTACCTTTCTGAAGGGCTCTACTGATCCCTTTGAAATACCTTTCCTTCTTCCTGCCAGTGTCAGAGACTGTGTATCCATTTCCATATCATTAGCACAGTGCCTGGCACATACTAGGTACTTAATAAATGGCTATTGATTGACTGTATTCCCCCTGACAGGTGAGCCTCCTGGACCTGAGGATAAGGGAGGAAAGGACATGGGTCCTGGAGGGAGGCTAAATGTTAGGAGTCATAGATCCAGATGTGTATAGGAGGGGATGGAGGTGTGTGGAGTAGAGATGAAGGCCACAGGTGGCTGGCTGGCTGAGAAGAGAGGGTTGTTTTATGTAGGGTGGGGGCAGGGTAGGATTAGTTGATGTGGCACAGGGCCAAAAGTGTGTATCTGGGGTTCGGGCTTCCACGTGAGATTTAAGGAGTGGTGTAGAGGCGTTGGGAAAGAAAAGGTGACCTGGGAAGGGGGGGGGTCAGGTCGGGGCTGGAGAACAAGTGTAAGAGAAGACTCCGGTTGCCCAGCCAGGGGTTGGGTCAGAAACACAGAAGTGGCGGTTGTGGGGGAGAAGCCCAGGAGTTTGGGGAGGGGGACCGGTTTCCGTGGCGATGGGCGGAAAGCAGGGAAAAGGGAACAGGGAATCAGGGAGCTCCGCTCAGCTGCCGAGAGAGCCCGGGGCGGGGAGCCGGCTGCCAGGGTCCTGTGGGGCTTGGGCTGCGCGCAGCCGAGAGAAGAGAGGAAAACAACAGGCGGAGAGGAAGGGAGGGAGCGAAGGAGAGAGAGAGGCAGGGAGGTGGGGGCCGGACCCTCTCCAGATCTGACTCCGCGCTGGGGGACCCCAGAACCTGGGAGGAGTGGTAGAGGGGACGGCCCTCGAGCCAGAATACGATCAACGAGTTCTTTCCTCCCATCCATCTACAGTTATTCCCGGAGGGCTAAGATCAGTTGCGGGGGCGGGGGTGGAGGGGGTGAACACAGGCTAACATCCTTTGGTCTGTCCCATAAGAGAGGGTTCCATAACCCTTTAGGACTTGTCCTCCCCCTCTATTCCCCACTCCTCTCTCTCACCCGGGAGTAACTGTGGGAGGGACGTGCCACCCAATCCTCTGGGTCCATTAACCCTTTCTTGCACAATTCTTTGCACCAGCCCCAAGACTCTTTCTCTTCTCCCGGTCCAGCCTCGGGAAGTTGCGAGGTGGGGGTGGGAGAGAAAGTTTCGGTCCTCGGAATCTTCCCGCGTTCCTCCCCCACTCCTTCACTCCTAGGGACCCAGGGCCCTTTCCTCCCAGCTCCCCGAGGGCTACTCACCAGATAAAGGCTGCCCTGCACCAGGAACACGAAGCAGCAGCGAGTGAGCTGCATCTTCCTTCCCCCCTTTCTCTTAGGGTACCACCCTGCCCCCTTCACCTGCCCCTCTCTTTTAGGCTCACAGTTCCATTCTCTGGCTCCCTGTGGGAAGCGCCCCTCCCACTTCCAGCTGTCTACGCTGGGCCCCGCCCCCTGCCTTAGTCCAGCTGTGCGGCCGCCCTCTCCCTCTCTTGCAGCTGTTCGAGGTGCTAGCCCACCACCCCACCCCTAAGTCCCAGCTGTGCGTTCTGAGCTCCTTTCTGGATCCAGCTGCGCGACCGCTCCTTGGTTCCAGATGTGCGTCTTGCGCGCCTCTCGGCTCCAGTGGCAGTGGCGCCGCCGCCCTTGGGCCCCCCTGCTTTCTTCCAGATGTGCGTTGGACTGGCTCGCACCCCCTCTTTCCTGCAGCCCTAATTCCAGAGGTGAACCTACCCCTATCCTGGCAGCCCACCCCGCCTCGGCTTGGCGCGCCCCCTGGTGTACGTGCCCCCCTCACTATCTGCCCACTCCTCCCGGAGCCCTCCCGTTCTGCTCCAGGCTATAGCGCGGGCCCAGACTGGAGCGCTCCCGCCGCCCAGCCGGCTCCCTCTCTCCTTGTCCCTCCCTCTCTCCCTCCCACCGGCAGCGGCGGAGGCAGCAGGTACAGTGAGTCGAGCCGGCACCTCCGGAGTTAACTCCTCCCCTGCCGGCCCATAGGCCAGGGGACCCAGGACGTCCTCTCCTCCCAACCAGAAGGAGCCAGGATTTGGGGCTAAGGAACAGCTCCTGGACAGTACTCAGGACTTCAATGGACTTGTGACCTTCCTCATTCAGGCCCCCTGGATTTGGGTTTTCTAGGAAGACAGCAGATTCAGAAATCCATCCCCAGCCATCTCTAGAAGAGGCATCATAGATTAGACTGCTTCAGAGCTGGGAAAACCTGAGTTCAGATCTGTATCTGACATTCACTGGCTGTATGACCCTGGGTCAGAGATGTCAAACACGCCACCAAGTGGGACCCACTACACTCCCCAGTGCCTCCTTACCAGATTGAGAAATATTTAACAAAATAAATAGAATTGCAATAAAACATGGAGAATATTCATATTTGTTTTCCTGACTCAATAAGTGACTCTCCAGAATTCTTATGTGTAGTTTGGTGGCTTCCATTTCTATTTGAGTTGGACACAGACTGGTCTAGGCAACTTTAAGACCAGGTGCTGACCTGTCTTGGCAGAGGGACTTTGTTCACCTAGGAGTCCCTATACTAATGAAATCAAGTCCCTAACTCCAAAGAGGAGGGTGAGATATGGAAGGGAAGGGTGGTTCTGCTGCTAAATGAGGCTTCCTTAAACCCATCCCTTATGGAAAGACCATCATTCTGTAGCTGAACTGGGGCCTCTTTAAAACCATCAAAAGTGTCTCATCCTTAAAGATCCTTCAGAGAGGAAAGATACTTTCCCCTTCTCATTTCTTTTCCATATTCTCTCTCTTCCAGAAGTCTAGGCTAAGTCTCTCCTGCTGCCCCTTTGGCCAGTTTTTCTCTCCTACTTTGGACACAACTTTCCCTCTGACTCAGAGCTAGTCACTTCATTACACTTCAGTCTTCTCAAATACCCCCAGGTTGGGGACATTTACCATCTTTTCTGGCCCTCTTTGGCCTGTATTCTCATCCAACCCCTTTCTAAAGGTTTCTCTGGAACTGGGGCTGAGGACAAGACCCTAATCATTGGATGCAGGTATCCTCTCATGTTCATCTCATTACCTTCAAAAGGGCTTTGCATGTGGTAGGTGCTCAATTTGAGTTTATTGATTGAATTGTGGCTGATAGGTCAGTACTAATGACCCCAGGCTTCCTGGGAGTGTGGTTGGATGAGGGAGGGGCATGGGATTGGAGGCTGGACAGACTTCCAGCAGTTCCTTTTTCTTTATTCTTTTGCTGCTTCTTGCTTCCTGTGACTCAGTCACCCAAGTCTAGACGTCAGAGTCCCTTTGGTTTTCAACAGCTTCAACAGCGTTGCCTCTCAGAAGACCTCTAAAAGAAAATTAAAAGGGAGAATAAAATGAAGGCAAACATAAGTACTTTAAAATCCATCTAAATAAGGGCTGAAAGGGCTTTACCTCATACACTTACTAGCTTCACAACTCTGGATGAGTCATTTAACTTCTCTGGGCCTCAGTTTCCTCATCTGTAAAATGAAGAGGTTGGACGTCATGGCCTCAAAGGTTCCTTTCAGGTCTCAATCTATGATCCTATGATTGCTCTCTGATCAGGAATTACCTTCACTTAATCCTTATCCATGTTCTTTGAGGGAAACTTGTATCATGTGAGGGGTGGGAGTGGGGGTGGGGGTGGGGGTGGAAGGTTCCTATAGTATTGTTGTAGTCTTGGAAGGTAGGAGATATCACCCTCTAACCTCTGAGGTCTGATGTAAGTCTCAAAATTTTAAGTCCATCTCCCCAAACTGAGAAGGGGGCCCCTCCTCAGAAGGGATTAGAAAGCCCTTTCTCAGCTTTGGCCTGTGGGTTCTGTGCTTTGTGTATCGTCCAAGGCCAAGGTTTTATCACAGGATGGCTTCCCCTTGCTCCAGCCCCCAGCCACCTCCCCCACCATCTGTCAGTCTGTGTGTGCACAGGGAATGCAGATGAATCTTAATATCAGCTTGAGCTAGTGTAATGAGCAAGACAAAAAAAAAAGTGTTTTAGGATGCACTGCCAAGCCCCAATTTTTATTATTATTATTATTATTATTATTATTACACCACAGTCTTGGATGATCAGGACCACAGCTCCCTGGGGAGAAATGCTGGGTTAGGGGGAGAGTTGGAGATATTTATTTAAACAGTGACCCTCCAAAAGCCATAAGAAGAAACAGAGACATTCCAGACGAAGGTGGCCATTGAGGATGTCTGAGAGGAAGGCTGCAGTTGGGGCAGCTGATAGAGGCAACTCAGCAGGATTTGCAGTTGTGCCTAATAGAGGGTCATTTTTAAGGCCAGACAGAGAGAAAGAAGCTTTGCTCATTTACCGCCTCACCCAAGGGATCTCTTCCTTCCTAGAATAGTGCAAAGAGTTCTACATTTGGAGTCAAAAGACTAGGGTTCAAGCCCCAGCTCTGCTATTCCCTAGATGTGTGACCTTAGGCAAAATGCTTCCATCCTCTGAGTCATGGTGTTTCTATCCTGTAATAATGATCCCTTCTCCTCTCCACGAATATATACCCATCACTTGGTTTAGTGACTCCTCTGTCTTTCTCTCTCTCTCTCTCTCTCTCTCTCTCTCTCTCCACACACACACACACACACATACATCTTAATTTCACAGCATCCCCTTCTCCCAAAGAACTCTCCCTTGTAATAAGAATAATAGTCATAGCTGGCATTTACATAGTACTTTTGAGGTTTGTAAAGCATTTTTTTCATTCAACAAGCATTTATTAATTTTTTTAAATTAATTTAAAACACAGATGAACAGAAATTTATTTTCTCTCCATCCCACCCCTGCCTCACTGGGGGAAAAAAGAAAAATAGAAGATCCTTTTAACAAATATGCATAGTCAAGAAAAGCAATTCCCTCCCTGGCCATGGCAAATAGATAGACAGACAGATAGATAGTTACACACATGCACACACACATGTGCACCCATGCATGCACACACACACATATATGTAATATGTTTCATTCTGTACCCTGAGTCCATCAACTTTCTACCAAGATGTAGATTTCATGCTTCATCACTGGTCCTCTGGAATCATGGATGATCAATGAGTTGATCAGAGTCCTTTTAGCTTTCCAGTATTGTTATTATTGTATAAGTTGTTCTCTTAGCTCTGCTCATTTCACGTAAAGCATTTTTAACTAGCTGTGTGACCCTGGGCAAGTCACTTAACCTTGTTTGCCTCAGTTTCCTCATCTGTAAAATGAGCTGGAGAAGGAAATGGCAAACTACTCCAGTATCTCTGCCAAGAAAACCCTAAATAGGGTCATGAAGAGTTGAACACAACTGAAATGACTGAAGAACAACAAAAAGCATTTTTTAAAACATATATTATCTTTTTTGATCCTCATAACAAGCCTCTTACGTAGGTATTAATATTATCTCTATTTTGCAGTAGAGAAAATTGATGCTGAAAAAGATAAGATGACTTTCCCAGAGTTACACAGCTAGTAGTGTATCTGAGGGAGGATTTGAACTCAGATCTTCCTGGCTCCAAGTCCAACATTCTACTCATGAGCTGTGTAAGCAAGGACCAAAATATTGGACATGTCTAAGGAGGTTTGCCTCATTCTTCACCTGTAGTCCACCACCTCTCCTCTCTGATGAGAAGAGGGAAGTATTTTTCACTGAATCCTGTGGTGGTGAGCCCCTCCTTCCCCACTTCCATGAAGCTTTACCAAACTAACTTCACATCCTGGCATCTATCTTTTGCTTTAAATCCCCTCAGCATTGTGGATATAGGTTGGTTGGACACTTGCTTTACAATCTTGCCCCAACTTATCTTTCCTGACTTCATTACGTGTCTTTACCAACTCTACCTTCCAGTCAGGTTTCTGGGAAAGAAGGAGAGGGAGAGAATTCAGAAAGGGGTAGAACTCTGAAGAAGAAATCTGGGAAGACCCACCCAAAAGTAAGTAAGGGAGAAGTTTTGCCATGTAATAATGACAGCTTGTTGTTGAGTCATTTTTCAGTTGTGTCTGACTCTTCATGACTCCATTTGGGGTTTTCTTGGCAAAGATACTGGAGTGGTTTGCCATTTCCTTCTCTAGCTCATTTTGCAGATGAAGAAATTGAGACAAACAGGGTTAAGTGACTTGCCCAGGGTCACTAGCTAGTATTTAGTGCCTGTTATGTGCCAGGCACTGTGCTAAGGGCTTTACAAACAATAATTCTGGGAGGGAGGTGTTTTCTTAATCTTCACTTTATGGATGAGGAAACAGAGGTTAAGTGATTTGCCCCAGGTCACACAGCTAGTAAGTTTCTGAGGACAGATTTGAACTCAGGTGTTCTTGATTCCAGACCTGGTGCTGCATTTACTGAGTCACATAGCTTATCTATTAGCTACCATTCTACTACTTCACAATTCTGAAAAGGAAATGGCATATATTTTGGCGTTTGGGATAAGGCAGATTTCTTTGAGGTGATAA